CCGCGGCCAGGCGCCCAGGGAGCGGCCCGCGCTCGGATCTCGCCCGCCTGCGCGCGCGCTCGCCTGCTCGGGATGGCCGGCTACCTGCGGGCCGCGCGCTCGCTCTGCAGAGCCCCGGGCACGGCCTGGGCGCCGGCGGCCCTGACAGCCCCCACCGCGCGAGAGCAGCCGCGGCGCCACTGTGAGTGCCGCGCCGGGGGTCCGGGCGGGCGCGCTCGGGCCGCGACGTGGCGGCTTCCCGGGTGGGGGTCAGGGAGCGCGGCCTGCGACGCTCGCGGCCCGGGGGTGGCGGTGTCGGGCGCGCAAAGGGTCGGGGGCAGCCTCGCGCGGAGCTGCCCCGCTTGGCGTTTCCGGGACCGCTCCAGGCGCAGGGGTAGGGACTTGAAGGACAGTGACAACTGGTGGCCCTGGCCACTGCCGGCCCTGCGCCTCCAGCGATTCCGGGAGGGGCTCCTGGGGTGTCCCGTACCTAGAGGGTGTCTCCGCCCTGCGCCACTGGAGGGACACCGGCGACCGAGGTGGGGCTGGAGCGCCCTGCCCGCGAGAGGGAGGGTCGCGGCGCAGGCCCTGCTCAGACAAAGGCGGGGAGGGGGGAGGCATCCACTTCCCCTTCCTTTTCAGCCAGGCGCGCTTTAATCACTCCTCGCTACCAGGCCCACGTCAGCTATTTTTGGAGCCTTTTACGCGGCAGCTGAAGGAGAGTCCTTTTTAATTTCCCCCTTTTGTTTGGCTGCCCCCACCACTTCGCCTTCGTGCTGCCCTTGAGGCTCCATCCCTGGGCCCGTCCTTGGCTCGACTTGCCTTTCCTTGCTGGCCGGCCCACGCCCTCTACCTGGCTCCCCCGCCGGGGAGACCTGGCAGCCCGCGCAAAATGCCGCTCTCCAGAATCGTCCCCACAGCTTCTGGGGTACCCTCAGCTCCCTGCTTAGGAGAGAAGACAGCAGTCGAGTCAGGACTTGGCCTGAGCCTCCATTACCAACGCGAGCTGTCCCGCCTGGTGTGTGGGCACTGGCCTGTCCCCCACACTGGCTTCCCAACCGAGCTACAAAAGGCAGGGAACAATGTCGGTCCCTTGGCCCGGTCTGATGCCTGTTGCCATGGAAACCCGTATCCAGACCTGGCCAGGAGCCCCTGGGGAGAGCCAGCAGGGTGAGGAAGAGGGGGTGGGGCCCACCCTGCTCCGCCTGGCCAGAGGATGTAATCCTTAACCGAGTATGGGAACAGCTGACCAGAGGGGGAGGGGAGGAGAGAAAGGTCTTGGGTCCCAGCCCCACCCCCGCTGCCAAGGAGAAAGGGGCATGTCTGCTTTTGTACTTCTGGGATCTATCTCTAAGCTGGGCAGCCCTGCAACTCCAAGGTTCCAAGTGCCCAGACCCCAAAGATTCCCATATGGCACCACCTTCGGCAAAATATGGTGGAAGTTAGATACATTCCCCAGTTCTCCCTTTTTTTCTGCATTGATGGTAAAAAAAAAAAGCAACAAAACAAAACCAAAAACCAACAAAAAGCACACACAAACAAGAAAACAAAGCCCCTTTTGGGGCCTGAATTTGGATACACACAAAAAAAGCAGTCAGTTGCAGGTCCTTCCAGAAGTCCCTGTGTGGTTTGGTTATTAATGGGAAAAATGCTTGGTGTTTGAGTTGGGTATTAGACTATACAGTTGTGACTCTGCCAGCTTGTTACCTGGCAACACAGCTGGAGAAAGAATACTTGGCATTCCCCTTGATGACAAGGAGAGAATATTTTTGGGCTGAAACAGTCCTGTGTCTTTGCTGCCTGGTAATTCCCACACGCGTCTCTTTCTCGCTTTGCAACTCCATAGGCCTCCTGCAGCTTGGGGAAGTAGAGGCAGGCTCTGCGAACGGCGCAGTGGGAGAATTACTTACCCAGCCTGCCCTTACTCCACGCCTAGCCCAGAAACCTAATTCTTGCCCCTTAACTTTTCAAGTCTTTCAGCCACATGAGCTAAGACCCCAGCTGCCCCGCCAGAGCTGTTCTGGGTGGTCGTGTTTAGGGATTGAGGCCCGCCCCCAAATCTTCCCTGCAAGGTGGAGGCCTCTTGGGCTGATTCCATTCTGGGTATGAGGTTCTGGAAACTGCTCTCTGCTTCCTGGAAGCCGGGGTCTGTGGCCTTCCCCGGGGTGTGTGCTCTGTAAACCCATGTTAGGAATACCAGCAGATTGTAATATTAATATTAATTGTAAGCTTCTCCAGGGCACGGAGCCCATTTCCAGAATCGTCCCCACAGCTTCTGGCGGACCCTTAGCTCCCTGCTTAGGAGAGAAGACAGCAGTCAGGACAGGACTTGGCCTGAGCCTCTGTTGCCAGTGTGAGCTGTCCTGCCTGGTGTGTGGGCACTGGCCTGTCCCTCACACTGGCTCCCCAACCCAGCTACAAAGGGCAGGAAACAATGTCGGTCCCTTGGCCCTGTACCCGGTACATCTGGTGCTGTCTGCTGGTAAGAACCCACTCGCCCTGTGGGACAGTGTTTCCAGAGTGGGAGGGGAGGGCAGGGCAGCCCTGACCACAGACCAAGTTGCCCTTAACTTGACCTTCATTTATGCCTTTAACAAATGTTTTGAGCTCCTACTATAATGCCAGACACCACGCAAGGTGTGGGGACGAGACCAGTAAAGATTCCTGCTTTATGGAGGGGACAGGCAGTAAATAAGATAGACGTGGACTCGTGTGACATATGGTCACACGACCTAGGGACAAGAAATCAGCAAGGAAGCTGTGAATGTGAAAGTTTGGGTAGGGCAGCCGGAAGAGACCTCGGTGAATGAAGCGCTGAGGAGGGGAGGAAGTGGGCCATTTAGGTACAGGGGACAGGGACCTGCAGGTGCCGAAGCCACGATGGAGGAGCAGAGAGGACAGTGCCATGCTGGCTTAGAGTGTGCCATGGAGAGTGATAGGGGAATGCGGGCCGGCAGTGGGCTTGTGGAGGGCACGGAGGCCGTTTGTAAGGACTTTGGCCTTTAAGTGAAAGGGGAGGCTTTGTACGGTGTTAAGAGGATTGTCACGATCTGATTTACATTTTATCTGGCTTCAGGGACCTGGTAGGAGGCGATAGACATAACCTGGCAATAAAAAGTGACGGCTTAGACCCGGATGGTGGCACTGGGGGTGGTGAGAAGTGGTTGGATTCTGGGTGTATTTTGAAGGTGTGGGTGTATCTTGTTGGTTTGGATGTAGGTGTGAGAGAAAGGGGGAAGTGAAGGATGACACCACAGAAAATGTTGGAGTCTTTTCCAGAATTGCTGTCCTGCCTTCTTGAGCCCCTAGGAATTGGGGCCTTTCCCACTTTCTGATCCTTCTCTGGGACATGCTGACAGAGCAGCCTCTCTGCTGAGAGCAGCACGGGCAGGAATGTGGAGAAGGCAGTTATGCCTGGGGCCTGCTGCCCTGGGAGGGACCTCCAGCCTCGAGCTGGGAGTAGTGAGCAGATCCCCAAGCCAGGGATGGGTTTTGAAATCCTTATTCCGTGTTGGGTCCTAGGAGACGCAAACGGGGAATAGAGTTGGCTTAATGGGTGTCTTGTGACTGGTGTAATTCCACCCTGCACTCCTGCCAGAACAGTGTTCGTGTAGTGCATCGTCTGAAGATTCACAGTGGCTGTCACTCTGAGGTTTTCAGGGAGGCCTAGCTGCTGCTTGTATTTCAGGTCTCTGTCACCACTTGTCTCCCAGACCAGGACAGACCACGGTGGTGTCTCCACCATACAGGCCGAACAGCAGACAGGGGACCTCCAGTGCCCCAGGGCACTCCGGAGGGCACATGGCAGGCCTGGAATGTAGGGAGGCACCACCCTAAGACACCCTCAGCCCAGCCTGTCCTCCCTGTGAGTGAGTGTGTGCTGCATATCTCGATTTTTATGTAAAAATCTCCTGCTTTTTTTGACTAGTTTAAGTGTTTGTTATATTTATTTATTTTTCGTTTTGGTAAAAAACAATGTAACAATCAGGGAGGAATATGCCCTTGCTCTCTCCCCAGGCTTCTCTTACCTGGGGTTAAATGCCCTCCCCTCAACACAGAGCTGAATAAACTGATGGATAGCCCTCTATCTACCTTAAAAGAAAACAAAAACAAAAACAAAAACAATGTAACAGAATTTATCACCCTAACCATTTTCAGGTGTACGGTTCCGTAGTGTTAAGTACATTCACATTGTTGTGCAGCCATCACCACCGTCCATCTCCAGCTTTTCATCTTGCAAAACTGAAACTCTGTACCATTAAACCACTCCTCCCAGTTTCTGGCAACCTCGTTCCACTTTCAGTTTCTATGTATTTGACTATTCTAGGCACCTCATGTAAGTAGGAGCACACCGTATTTGTCTTTTGTGACTGGCTTATTTCACTTGATATGATGTTCTCAAGGTTCATCCATATTATAGCATATGTCAGAGTTTCCTTCCTTTTTAAGACTGAACACTATTGCATTGTGTGTGTATACAGTAGTCCCCCTTATCCTTGGGGGCACATTCCGAGATCTTCAATGGGTACCTGAAACTGGGACTAGTACTAAACCCTATATATACTATGTTTTTTCCTATATGTACATACCTGTAATAAAGTTTAATTTGTAAATTAGGAATAGTAAGAGATTAACAATAGTAACTAATAATAAAATAGAGCAATTATAACGGTATACTGTAATAAAAATCATGTGAATGTGGTCTCTCTCTCTCAAAATATCTTACTGTACTCTACTCACCTCTGTCCAGACTGCGGTTAACCGTGGGTGAGTGCCACACAGGTAACTGAATCGTGGAGAGGGAAACCGTGGATGGGGGGGGCTATACCACGTTCTGTGTATCCATTCACCTGTGGAGGGACACTTGGGTGCTTCCGCCTGTGGACCCCTGTGAGCAATGCGGCTATGAACACGGTGCACGTGTATCCCTTCGAGACACTGCTTTCAGTTGTTTTGGGTCTATATCCAGAAGTGGAATTGCCGGATCGCATGGTAATTCTATTTTGTTTTTCCACACTGTTTTCCACAGCAGCGGCACCATTTTACATTCCCACCAACAGTGCAGAAGCGTTCCTGTTTCTCCCCACTGTCACCAGTACTTTCTATTTTCTGGTGTTTGGTGGTAGATAAGGAGTGTGAGGTGACAGCCCATTATGGCTTTGATTTGCATTTCCCTAACGATTCGTGATGTCGAGCATCTTTTCATGTGCTTGTTGCATGTCGTCTTTGGAGAAATGTCTCTCTAAGGCTTTTGCCCATTTATTAATTTACTGTCGTTGAGATCTCCTGATATTTAAAGCTTGGTCACCAATTAAGATTTTTGAAAAACCGTTACCTGGTCCAAATAAAACAAGTCTGCTGGCCTTGGCTCCATGGCTGTCCTCAGCTCCTCGAGGAGGGTTGCTTGCAGGGAGGTCCCAGCGGTCCTGACTGCTAATAGCGACTACAGCGCCCTCGCTCTGTTTCCCGTGGGTCTGCCCTTCCTCATGCTGTTGTGTTTAGGCATTTCTGTATCCCAGTGGGAAGAGGTGCTTAGCACCCGGTTGGTGAGTAAATAAGTAGGCCTTGTGGTCTCTGAGAGTTTGCCACCTGCATGCACCAGGGCTGTGTTCCTGACCTTGAACTTCCCCTAGAGGAGATGTGGCATCCACAGCACACAGACTGCTGCGCCTGCCTGAAGCCGGAAACAGCGGAGCCCAGGCCGAGGCTGAAACCTGTAGAGCTGGTCCCACGTGTGTCTGCCCTGAGGCCTACGCATTATGATGGGTTCCATTTTTCACAGATCTGATCGCTGCCCTTAGATGAACCCAGAGGCGATGCTCCCCCAGACTATGGTAAACCAGCCCTGCAGTAGCTGGGCAGACTTCCGCAGGCCCGGCAGCCCTTCCCACTCAAGCTGAGACCAGGAAAGGGAAAGAATATTGGGTCGAAAATCCTTGTCGTGCGTGTCGTGGGAAGGGCGGCAGAGCTAGTGGTGTCCACCTTCTGTTCTCTGGGGATGAAACGTTTCCAGTCTGTGTTTGCTTTCCGTGTCTCTGCATCTGACCCACGAGGGCTTCCCGAGGCTGCACGTGAGCCAGGGACCTGGTTCTGTCTCACCTCTGACACAAACCACACTCCCTGGGTCTCATTTTTCTCCCTAAATGATCTCTGAGATTCTTTCCGATGAAAAGTAAATCTGTTTGCGTATCTTTGGAAGGGGCGTTGTTTGAGGACCGTTAGGCTTTGGTCACTTGGTTTTGACCGTGCCTCAGTGGCCAGGCCTTTTTAGTTCCTAGGCCTGCTCTGCACAGGCTTCTGTCCCTTGCTGTTCACCTGGCACTCGTCACTTCTTCCAGCCCGGTGTTTTCAAGCGAGCGTTCTGTTCTTCGTCTGCTGCGCGTGTCTAGTCCGGGTGAAGACAGAGCAGAAGAGCCCCGGCTGAGGCGCAGCTCTGCGAAACGCCCAGCCGCCCTGCTCTGTGCTGGTTTCGGGAGTCAGCGCCATTTCCCAGCGACTGGAGGTTTATGTTTTGTGCGCATTGGTTGCGTGTCCCGCAGACGTGCTTCTTCCCAGGCCGTGGGCAGAGGAGCGGGCGGCGCTCGGCGCCCCTGTCTGCTGCAGGCGGAGGTGCAGCAAGCCCCGTCCGAGGCAGCCTGGCCTGCTCATTCCATGGGCCGTTTCCTCGAGTTTTCTTTGGAATTCTCATCCCCTGGGGGCGTGGATCCGGCATTCCCAGTTGCGTCCGCAGGTGCCATGAGCCTGCGCGTCCCCCTGGATGGGGTCAGGGTCTTCCTCATTCTGCTGCTTTCAAGCTCCGCAGCCTTGCGCGGTGAGCTGGTAACCTCTCTGAGCCTCGTTTCCCCACATTGAAAATGGAGATGCTCATACGTCCCTCGGGGTTGTTTTGGGGATTAAATGGATCACCTGTGTAGAGGGCTGGTATGCCCTCAGGCACAGAGCAGGCACCCAGTTCCTGTCTGTCTGCATCTGCTCCTCACTTCAGCTAGTCAGAGGCTCTCAGGTTGCAAGCGACGGAGTTAGCGACTGGCTCCCCGCGAGAGGATTTTGCGGGAGGGACACAGGGTAGCTGATAGAATTGCAAGGAAAACTATTAATATAAAGAACTGAGTCTTGGCCAAAAGGGGAGCCTGGGCCACCCTGAGGGACTGGTGGCGGGAGCCCCTGGACAGCCTCTCCCTGATTTGATGTGGGACGAGGCAGCCCAGCTTCCCGCCATTCTCTGTGCTGGGCTCCTTTGCCCTCAGATGCCAGGGCCAGAGGCTCTCACTGGCCAGACTGGAGCCCCGTGAGGCATGGGCTGGGCATCCTTCCGGCCAGTTCTACCCAGGCAGACTCAGTGGGGGATCCAGGTCCCCCACGCAGTCAGGGAGCTGCTTCTGCATAAGGGGCAATGGGCGCTGGGACACTAGGCAGCCGGGGCCCTGGCTGTCCACGGTTCCCTCCTTGGTGGAGGGCAGGTCTGGCAGGGAGGAGAGGGGCTCCCGCACCACCGCCCCAGGGGTGCAATGCATCGCGTGTCCTCGGTTCTAGATGCTGACAAGAGGATCAAAGTGGCGAAGCCGGTGGTGGAGATGGATGGTGATGAGATGACCCGGATCATCTGGCAGTTCATCAAGGAGAAGGTGGTGCCCCTCCAGGAGTGGGTGGCTCTCTAGACAGGCTGGCCACACACAGTGTTCAGCCCCACAAGGGCTTCTGGGTCCCCCTGTGGCTTCCTAGGATCCCCCGACCCCGGTGGACGGCTACAGCCCTTCCGTTCACGCTGCCTTCACATCTCGACCACTAATGGTTCATGAGGCGTCAGGCAGGGGCTGTCCTGAGCAGCCTGTGTCTCCTGCTGGTGCCGGAGCCTGCACATCCTGCCGAGTTTGAGCAGCTTCGAGGCCGACTGATCCTGTTACGTATCTGTCTAGATCCCCTGCCTTCTGCCACACTTCCCTGGGAAGGAGTGAAAGTGGGACGGGGCTGGCGTGCAGGGCAGCGGCCCAGCCTGCGGCTGTGGCAAGCCACCACAGCAAACGGGTCCCAGGTGGCTGCTTGGTTCTCCAAAGCTGCCATGATCTGGGTCTGCTCAGGAGAGGGTGTCATCTGTGTGAAGGCCCCTGCGTTGTGTACGACCACGGGAGGAAGGTTGAGAACCACCACTTCCGATTGTAAAGGGCTCAAAGCACTTGGAGGAGAAGAGGGACTCCATGGTATAGAGCAATCTAGATGAACTTGGGGTTGGGGTTCGGCTGAGTTGGGGGGCCATGGTGGGGGCAGATGGTCACATAGGGGAAGAGCCATCTGAAGGACTGTGGCCTGGTCTGCTGACCCCTCTCCAGAGCCCCAGCCCCCACCAGCTCTGTTTAGTCCCCACTGAGGAATGGCTGAACCCCAGTGCTCTGCTATACCCCCTCCACTGCCCTGACTGGGTGTCCCCTGCCAGGGCCTGCAGACTTCTCCTGCCCCTTGGTGTCCTGTCCCCGAGTCACAGCCATCTGGGCTGATGCCTTGCTCTGGTCCTCTGTTCCCAGCTCATCCTGCCCCACGTGGACGTCCAGCTCAAGTATTTTGACCTTGGGCTCCCAAACCGTGACCAGACCAACGACCAGGTCACCATCGACTCTGCATTGGCCACCCAGAAGTACCACGTGGCTGTCAAGTGTGCCACCATCACCCCTGATGAGGCCCGCGTGGAAGGTGTGAGGGTGTAGAGGTGGGCGGCGGGGGAGGGTCATGGGCTCCCCCCACCAGGCTCTCCAGACTGGGGTTGGGGAGGCTGGCCGTGTCGCTCACCTGGGGACTGGGAGGTTGGGGCCTCTGGAACTGGGGTTTCCCAAGCCAACTTCACTTGGGGCTAGGGTGGGCACTGTGAGGTGACCCCAGTCTCCCTGTGGTGCCTGGTAGGCAGGGGCCCTTAGAGGTCACTGCAGACGAGGCTGGGGGAGGTGTGGTTAAGGGGTTGGCCTCAGGTTCCATGGTTAGGGTGCAGCAGAGCTGAGGCCAGAACCCACGTCTCCTAGCTCCCAGGCCGGTGGTGTTTCTGCCGTGCTGTGTGGCTCTGACCAGTGGTGGGCGTCATCAGTGACAGGGAGGAGGAGGAGGAGGAGGAGGAGCAGGAGGAAGATAGTGCTGATGCTGTCATAGCAATGACGGCTTCTTTGGGCAGCCCGTTCTCTGGCCCCCTGGACTGTTTTGCAGGCAGGTTCGCAGAGACTGTGCAGGGGAGTCTGTGTGCCAGAGCCTCAGAGACCTCTGGGGAGCATCGCTAGTGGACCCCTGCCTCTGCCTTGGCACTGCAGGTCTGCCTGCCGCGGTGCTCCTGCAGGGTGTCTGAGAGGTGCCCTCGACGGGGCTGCACTGGCTGCTGGGCCTTGGTTCTGCGGGCTGCTCTCGAGGGCTCCATGAATGGCCCCAGGGTGTGGATAAAGGGGCCGGGTTTGCATAATTCAGGAAAGGATGGCGAGGAGTTTTCTGAGTTCTCTCTCCCGCCTGCAGCGTGAGGGAGCTAGAAGGACGCATTCAAGATGCATCTGCAAACTCTGGGCCTGCCCCTGCCCTGCCAGCTCATCCCCGGCCATTTTAGTGCTGAGTTCTTCTCACGTGTTTTCTTTTGTTTCACCTGAACCCTGGGATTTATGGATCCCTATTCTTTGGCTAGGGAGGTAGAGGTCACAGTCTCAGTGACTGGGGGCTAGGACCAGAGCGTTTGGACGGAGGCAGCGTGCCGCCAGGGTTGCAGACAAGCCCTCTCCCTCAGACTGCGCTGTCTCCGCGTATGATGTGGGGATAAAAATGGCTGACAGGGCGCCACCACGGGCAAGCCCTTTACCCTGAGCTCACTTAATCCTCACTTGCCCCCATAGGCTAGGTATTTTATCCGTAATTTCATTTGATAGCTCAGGTTAAGCCACTTGTGTGAACCTCACAGAACTGCCGGTTCCAGAGCCCACACACTTACACTCCAGACTCTGCTGCCTCCTCCGGGATGATTTTTAGGACCCTAGTCTGGCTGTGGTGTTGCTTGGGGTTCAAGTTCTGGTTGGAAGATGGTGGCTGCGGTGGGCCCACTTCGTCTCTGTCCTCACAGAGTTCAAACTGAAGAAGATGTGGAAAAGTCCGAATGGAACCATCCGGAACATCCTTGGGGGGACTGTCTTCCGGGAGCCCATCATCTGCAAAAACATCCCACGCCTCGTGCCTGGCTGGACCAAGCCTATCACCATTGGCAGGCATGCCCATGGCGACCAGGTAGGCCAGGCGGGAGGCAGGGCCCATGGCCCTGGGCCCCCCAGCCAGAGCCGCTGGCCTGAGCCATCCTCTCATCTCTGCAGTACAAGGCCACAGACTTCGTGGCGGATCGCGCTGGCACGTTCAAGATGGTCTTCACCCCGAAGGACGGCAGCAGTGCCAAGGAGTGGGAGGTGTACAACTTCCCTGCGGGTGGCGTGGGCATGGGCATGTACAACACCGACGAGGTGAGGCCCGGCTCCGCTGCTGCGCTCCCCCTCCAGCCTGTCTCTTGGCTTTCCTTTCTGCTGTGCTGGCCTCGTTCTCAGGCCGTGAAGAGGCAGAAACGGCCACCAGTACCCCCAGCCTTATCCCCTGTCTGCTTGGTCACTGTCGGAAGAGGTCGCCTCTTTGCTCCTAGTTTCGGCAAAAGTGCCAAGCTCGGGTCACATGACCATCTCCGAGCCAGTCATGGAGGCCCTGGGCAGGAGGGCTCTGAGCGGGTAACCAGGGACACAGCCCTAGCAGGAGGCGAGTGGAGTGGGGGAATGAGGCCTACCCCAGCCCTGTCGTCTACGAACTGGGGCAGGGGAGGTGCTTTCCGAACCACAGCTGGGGGCTGCTTGCTCCTGGAAGCTGGGAGGGAGATGCTGGGCCGGCAGGGACAGGGTGCTCTCCGCACGGAGCTGGTGTTAAGCAGTGGTGTGGAGGGCACAGTGCCATTCCTGGGGGTCTGCGCCTGGCGCTGGGAGACTGGGAGGAGACTGGCAGTCCCCAGGCTAGGGGGCCATGCCAGGGCCTCTCTCTCCCTCTGCAGTCCATCTCGGGCTTTGCGCACAGCTGCTTCCAGTACGCCATCCAGAAGAAGTGGCCGCTGTACATGAGCACCAAGAACACCATTCTGAAAGCCTACGACGGGCGTTTCAAGGACATCTTCCAGGAGATCTTTGACAAGTAACAGCCTCTTCCTTTGCTGCGTCCCACCCACTCCGCAGCCTTCCCCTATGCTGTCCCCACCCTACTGGGGGAGGTCCCAGTGCATTTGGCATAGCTCTGAGGCTCAGGGAGGAGTCCCCAGCCTGTCAGCCTCCTGCTGTGTCCCCTCACGGCCCCTCTCCTCCCAGGCACTATAAGACGGACTTCGACAAGAATAAGATCTGGTATGAGCACCGGCTCATTGACGACATGGTGGCTCAGGTCCTCAAGTCTTCGGGCGGCTTCGTGTGGGCTTGCAAGAACTATGACGGAGACGTGCAGTCAGACATCCTGGCCCAGGGTATGCTGGGAGGACCCTGCTCCCTGGGGGGACAGACTGTTGGTCTTCTCTGGCTGGGGGCATTTTCAGACGCTTTTGGTAGAAAACTCTAGTGTAGCAGCAGGACTCATTGCATGGCCCCCTGTGGACAGCAGGGGGCAGGAGCTCCCCAGCGTCTGAGTGAAGGAGGACCACAAACTAGGTTTGGACTCGTGTGTTACTGAGGCTTCCCTTAGAGAGAAAGGGAGGCTCAGGAATTCAAGTCCTAAAGGGCCAGATTGTCAGCCCTGAGGTTGTTCCTGACCCTGACCGAGCCGTGTGAGGGTTTGGCTCCAGTAGGAAGCTTGGATCAGGCAGGACCGGGTGCACTTTAAATGACAGGGAATGCTTTTTGCACAGTAAACCTACCGGATGTAGGAGAATATTGGGGAAGACAGCAAACCCCTAAGCCCTAGAGTGTCCTGGGAGACAAACTGGATTTCAGGAGAAAGTGTGGGTGAGGCCATTAGAGAACAGCGAGAAATGGCGTGAGAGTGTTGGGAACAACAGCAGGAGAGGTGGCGGGGCGTGGAGATTGAGGGAGGAACCTGGGGTTGCACGGGGAGGGGCAGCTGCCGAGAAGGCGGGGAGGGCCCCCAGGCCATGAAAAGGCAGAGCTTTTCCGTGGGGATCCTCTGCCAGAGCACTGGGCACCCAGGGTGGGAGCAGGGAAAGCCACAGCAGACGAGAGGAAGGCGTGAAAATTAACCTTCAGTGCGGAAGGAGTTGCTGCGCGGGCGGGTCCAGGTGAAAATGGCAGAAACTCAGACGAACCGTTTTCATATCGCAGTTGTCTGGTTTTTCTTTCTTGGCCTCCACCATCCTTGTTTTGGTGCCACCAGGGCGGGGGTCGGGGGGTGTGGTTTGGAAGCCCTAGAGTCCTTGACAACAGCAGGGGTCACTGGAGCGGCGTCTGCATTTGGGAAAATTTGGAAATGAACCACAAAGCTGGAACCCGACTTAAAAGCGCAGCGGCAAACATGGCTGGGACCTGGCCGGCGGCTTTGTGCGGCTGCTGGAACGAGCCTCCCCATCTGGGGCCGGGCTGGTGGGCAGGCGCCGGGAGGCTGCAGGGCTCTATGGGGTCTCTGGCCCTGTGGGCCACAGGCTCTGCGTGCCTGAAGGTGGGGCACAGTTGTGTGTTAATGGGCTGATGACAGCCACCCTGAGTGCCCCCTGCTCTGTGCTGGGCCCTGGAGCCCCTCGCCAGGGCAGAGAAGCCCCAGACAGGGCCGTCCTCCCAGTTACAGCGCGGGAGGGCACGTGGAGCAGCTGCGACAGCGGGTGACGAGGGCACAGGCGCCAGCACCGAGAGGAAGTCTTTTTGCCCCTCAGGTTTCGGCTCCCTGGGCCTGATGACCTCTGTGCTGGTCTGCCCGGATGGGAAGACCATTGAGGCTGAGGCGGCTCACGGGACAGTCACCCGCCACTATCGGGAGCACCAGAAGGTAAGTGTGAGGCGTGTGGCTGCAGTAAGCCTCTCTACCCCAAGGCCCACGGCCCGAGGGCTGGGAGGACAGCCTGACCAGCCTAGGGTGGGCACCGGTGTCCGGCCAGCCTCCTGGCTAGGCGGCTCGGCTCTTGACATCCCCGCGACCCCCGTCCCCAGGGCCGGCCAACCAGCACCAACCCCATCGCCAGCATCTTCGCCTGGACGCGTGGCCTGGAGCACCGGGGCAAGCTGGACGGGAGCCAGGACCTCATCAGGTGAGCGCCGAGGGACAGCCTGAGCTGGCCCAGGGTAGGCTGTGGGTCCTGGCCCTGCATGGTGGGAGCCTCACTCTGCCCCGTCCCTACAGGTTTGCCCAGACCCTGGAGAAGGTGTGCGTCGAGACAGTGGAGAGTGGAGCCATGACCAAGGACCTGGCGGGCTGCATCCATGGCCTCAGCAAGTGCGTGGCTTGGGGTGGAGGGCAGGATGGCCTTCTGGGACCTCGGGGCCAGGTGGGAAGAAGCCGAGGGACCCCTGTTAGAGTCCCCCTCGCGAGTCAGCTTAGCTTTGCCAGGGGCCTGGGGCAGGACAGGTCCCCAGCCCTGAGGGATGGCTCGGGTTGAGCCTCCCTAGATCAGGCCCAGGGAGTTGGTCCCCATCCCTGGTGCCAACTGCTCAGAGCGGCTTTTGTTCCCTCCCACACGTCTCCCGGGAGAGCTTGCTCCCAGGTGCCTCGTACCTGGAAAGGACAGGCTCTGCCAGGTTCCTGCTGAGTTTGCTGTGGCCCTTTGGCAGTGGGCTGCAGGTAGCCTTTGGCCCGTGGCGGGGGCCGCTTGGGGAGGCTGTTCCGAAGTCCAGGCTCAGGCTGTGTCCTGGCAGGCGAGGCCCGGGCCGCCCCTGAGGCGAGCGTGTTCTCTCTGCAGCGTGAAGCTGAACGAGCACTTCCTGAACACCACGGACTTCCTGGACACCATCAAGAGCAACCTGGACAGAGCTCTGGGCAAGCAGTAGGGAGGCGCTGGCCAGCTGCCGCGGTGGCCAGGCCGCGGCGGGTCCTCCGACACGCGGCGGAGGGTGAGCCTCACAGCCCTTCTCTGGAGGCCTTTCTAGGGGACACTTTTTATAAGCAAGATGTTTTTAAAAGTATGTGTGTGTTTCCCCTCACGGTGACGTGAGGCAGGAACAGCATGTTTTACCTCAGCCAGTCAGTATGTTTTGCATACTGTAATTTATATCGCCCTGGAACACATGGTGCCATATTTAGCTACTAAAAAGCTCTTCACAAAACCGTCTGCTGTGTTTGTCCCTGAGAGGAAGGAGGCAGAGGGCCTCCTGCAGCTGGCGGGTTCCACCAGGGACAGACTGGAGCACCTAGGAGGGGCCCCGTCGGGGAAAGGGGCCAGGTGGCCCCGGGAGCCTCTGCATTCGCAGGACCAGCCTGGGGCCCCACTGGGACTCTGGGGTGCAGGCTTGTGGGTTCCTGGGCTTCCCTAGCACGATCCAGTTCTTAATCCAGTTCTGCACCGCGGCACTGGATCACTCCTGACAGATCCCGGTAGGTGGACAGAGCAGGTCCCACCCAGCACCGCGCCGTCCTCTCCGGGGCCGTCTGGGCTTTGTGGGGCGCATGCGCGTCACCAGGGCCGCCTGTCGTCCTGGCCAGTGGTTCCCACACTTGGGTTTGTTTTCACCACTTTGGCAAAAACCAGAAACGTAAAGTCATAAAAAAAGTTGCTCTAAAACTACCTATATTCAATTTAAAGGATCGTCCTCTCTCTATGCAATGATCGCCTTCCACTTTTTGGTGTGAAAACGTCCAGGGGAAGAGTGGCATCATCTCTGCGAAGTCCTTTTCCTAAATACTGGGGGGACTCTGAAACCCGGCGGCTGGGAACCATCACTGCAGACTCCAGCGGCTTTGGGATGGGCTCCCGCCCCCCGCCCACATCAGCAGCCCCTTCCTCTCAGCTCCCAGGCAGTAGGGAAAGTGAGTGCTGGCTCTGGCTTCCTGCCTTCTTTTGCCTGTCACCAGAAAAGGGCTGGCAGCCGCCCCGAATGCAGCCTCCGAAGCCCAGTCTGGCACCGGGAGCTGGCCTCTGTCCTGGGGCCCTGTCTCGGAGCAGCTGGCTGTGGCGCCTGGCCCTGCCGGTGGCCCCTGCAGTCCAGAGAGTGGTCTCAGTTCCCTCCAGTCCCCGGGAGTGGACCCTGCAGCGTGGGGCCGGGAATTCCTTCTGGGGGAGGCGTGAGGGCCAGCTCCCCAAGAGCTGGGGAAAGAAGCATTTGCAGTCACCTCGCTAAAGAATATTCATTTATTTATAATTATTGCTAAGTAAACTTCTCTTTTAAACAGGAACATAAAAACACAGTAGGGCTTTGCACAAGTGGAATTTCTAAACAGTTGGTCTGTATACACGTCAAAATAAGTTAGAATGGAATCGTCCAGGAGTTTCCAAGTCACCCGAGAGGCGGCAGGCCTCTTTTGAGAAGGTTGGGAGGGGTGCGGACAGGGGCCTTGCTAAGACCACCCCCAGCTCAAACCGTGAGTTGTGCTGTTTCCTCCTCGGAGCTCTGCCCAGGTCCAAGGCACAGGGCAGGGGGCGTTCAAGTATCAAACCTCGCAGAGGGCCGGTGCTGACGGCGGGGCGGGGGGAGGGAAGGAGAGCCCCCCACGGGGGCCAGACCTTCTCCCTTCGGTTTCCAAGGCCGAGGCCACTGCGCTGGCAGGGGAGAGGAGGAGGAGGAGGTACAGGGTTCTTTTTGGTACCAGGGAAGAAAGAGGTCGTGGGAAGAGGTAGTTTGCAGGGGATGATGCCTTCTGCTCAGCAGGAGAAAATGTCTTGTACAGTGACGGGGTCACTGCCACCTGAGGGTCGTCATGGCGGGCACCTGGGTGGTCGAGAGGCCTTGGGTTCTGGGGAGCCACACTCGGGCCACCTTGTCCACCCCTCAGTCCTGATCACAGTCACCCTGAGGCCTGGCTTGGTCCTTCACTTAAGGATACAGCCTTGGGGGTAGCTGTATTTCAAACTGGTTCCCCCCACCCCAGCTGTGTCCCCTTCCTGGTTTTTGGGCCGAAGCTGGTAGCTTCATCTGGGACTTTGGGGACAGCCCTGCCTGCCCCTCCTCACCAGGGCCTCAGGAGGCAAGTGGGCGGGAGTCAGGGCCCTGGATTCCTGAATGTGCTGCTGCATTGCCCTGGACCTGCAGTCCTTGTCCTCGGCTCCAGGGGCAGGAGCTGGTGTGGGGACAGAGGGAAGACAGCAGGCGAGCCAGGGAGTGAGCTGGTGGCTGAGCCGTCAGCGGCCCTGGCTGCCAGGATGGGGCACAGCCAGTCGGCCACTGGAGGGGGCCCAGGCAGGGTGCAGGGCTGCCCGGCCTTGGGAGGCAGGCGGCTGCACCTCCAGGGCCAGAGTAGCGGTCCCCAAGGAGCCCCTGCCCAGCCAGGCTGCTCTCAGCAGGGGAGCTCGAAGCACACACAGCACACGAGAAAGCTTACGTTTGGAAAAAGGAAACGCGTCTCCATCAAAAAAGATAATAGGTGACACAGAATTGGAAAGAAAAAAATAAATTACCTTCAAAATACCCCCATTTGCTCAAAAAAAAATTTTCCCCCCCTTTATGGTCTTCATTTTCCTTCTTAAATATGTTGCTCTTTCCTGGGAGCCAGCTAGCTCTTGGCTGCCCCATCCTCAAGATGCTTACCTGTGAGAGAGTATTTTCGTCCCCCTTCCCCCCACAGGGGGTCCCTGGCCTCCCCCCGACGACAGCCCCTCTTGGTCCCTGCTGACGCCCTCACCCTGCCCTGCCCCTTGCTCAAGGGCCTCCTCCTGTTGGTGTTAGTGGGTGCCTGGTGCGAGGCGTGTCCCGGCTGTGTTCACGCGGGGGCCCCGGGGGTGCTCCAGCTCGGGACAGACCTGGATGACATTTGTTGAGATCGACTTTAGGGACACCCACTTCCAGACAGGGCTGCGGGACAGGGGCCTTCTGGGGGTGGGCCGGGGAGGGCGTCAGCCGCATGCAGGCCTGGCCGAGGAGCGTGTGGGGGCACCAGGAGGTAGAAGGCGGAGGGCCCTGCCTGGCTGCCGCGGACAGGCTGGGGAAGGGGCGCCAGTGGGGGCCGGCAGGGGAGCTCAGACACCCCTAGAGGCAGGGGTTGGTTAAGAAGAGAGACAAGGCGTGGCTCAAGTGATCTCGTCCTCCAGCGTGAGCACCCCTGAAGAGCTCTGCTGGGCCTGGAGAGCTCCCAAGAGCCTGCGCCTTCGTGACCTGTCCCCAGCGGCCCCGTTTCTCCCACCCTCCCCTGGCAGCAAGCCAAGGAGACCAGACCCAGGCCTCCTGCGTCACCTTTCCTCGCCAGGATGCCTGGGCCTGTGCCTGGCGCGCGGCCCGGGCCAGTAGTACAGTCTCCATTTGGTCTAAAGGTCCCTAGTGGTGCAAATGACTCGGGGAGGCGGGGCCGGGCCAGTGGGGCAGTAGCTTGTTTCTCAGCGGCAGGAGGTGCAGCCTGCAGCCCATGGGCCTCACCCCACACCCCAGCCCCCCGGCCCCTCGCTGGGGTGGCCCAGCTTGCGCTATAGCACGTTGTAGTAGGCCATCTCCTTCATGGCCTGCTCGGTGAGGACGCTGGCCTCGGCGCCGCTGTCCACGCCGGCGTAGGTGTAGGCGTTGTCCTCGAAGTCCTCCATCTCCTGCTGGCTGTCAAGCTCGGAGGGGTCAGCGCCTGTCAGCTCCATCATGGGGTCTGCAAGAGAGGGGCACAGTTAGGCCCGGGGGCCGCCACGTGCGAGGAGCCAGTCACTGCCATGCGGGAAGCAGATGACCTTTTTAAAGAAAAGGCTTCCCAGTCATTGCTTCCAGAGGATTCTCAGCTGCCTCTCAGCTTTCCCCGGGATGCCTGAGGCTCCTGTGGCTTCTCAGACGGGCCACAGACCGTCAGCCCTAACTGCACGTGGGGGCGGGTGCCGCTGTGCGAGCCCTGCAGGCCGGCCTCCCAGTCTTTGGGTCACGCTTCCACTGCCCCTTCTAAGTCACTGAGCCCTGCTTACTCCTCTGCGGTGTTTCTCACTGGCCCCCTGCGCGCGAAAGCCTGCCGCGACATCATGTCCCTGCCGCCACATCGTGTCCCTGCCGACCACTCATTCAGCACCTGCTGCGGGCCGGGCACTTCACAGCCCTCATCTCTTCGGAGGCTCACAAGCCCATTTAGCAGATGCAAAGGCTGAGGTTCAGAGAGGTTAATCCACTTGCCAAAGGTCACCCAGTAAGTGCTGCTGTTTCGAGCCACTGTGCTGCTCTGGCTCAACTCGCAGGAGGGAGCTGTTTCTCCTCGCCCGTCCTGGCGGCATCCGTGCTTCCCACCAGCTCCACCCGGTACCCCTGGGCCCGGCTCTCCAAGGACAAACGTGCACCCAAGGTAGGTTCACCAGGACACATGAGGCAAAAACGCTTAAGAGACCTCTTGTAATTTTATCAAGTTGCAATCTTGTTACAAAGATCTGGGGCCCCCCCGGGAGGCTGGCTGGCCGGGACTGCGGCTGACCCCACATGCACTCTGGCCCTGTCCACTGAAGAGATATGCGTAGCAGCACCCTGTCCTCTACCCATTCCATGTCAGCAGTGTCACCCCAGCTGTGACAACCAAAAATGTCTCCAGACATGGCCAGATGTCACCTAAGGGCACACTCACCCCTAGCTGAGAACCAGTGCTCTAAAGGTAATCCCATCCCATGTCAATTGGTGGTTCAGGAATAGAAGGTGACCCAATCCTGGCCAGGGAATCACAAGGAGAGGCCTGCTAGTAAGTTCTTAGGATGTTCTCACTGGTTTTAAAGAGCTCAGGGGAGCAGGCTCTAACTCTTCTACTGAATGTGGACAAGGAAGCTCATCGCCCTGCTAGCCATTAGCAGCCGTCTTGTGACCATGAGGAAAAACCACAGCAGTAGCTGTGGACAGAGGAAGCCTAACCCTGATGTTATCATTGAGAGCTGAATCAGCCAACCCTGAAGATGGCTAGACTTCAAGTCATTTCTTAATCTATGTCCTTGTGTAAGCCAGTCCGAGCAGCGGCTGTGACTTGCGCCCATGGCATCCAACACCCTGTGAGTCTTCCTGACAAAGCCGATTGTACCAAATCTTACAGACTAGGCTGTTTCTTCCTCAAATCTTAATGCTGCAACCTCATGCTATACAGCTGGTCATAAGAATAAGCTAAATAAAGCACCCTGAGAAAATAGCCACCCCCCCATCTCTGCACACAGACCCCACTTTGTTTATTAGGTCTACTGGTCTTGCCCAGTTGGCTCCAAAGAATAGTCCGTGCCACTTTTTACATGGACGTGGGTCCACCTCCCAAATTAGAGCCCCAGGGTTTGCTGGGCGGTTCCATTTCGGATGTATACTGCCTTCCTCCTGCAGGAGCGTCATGCCCGGCTTCTCAGACACGGCTCCGCGTGAGAGGAGCCCTGACTATTCCAGGGCCAACCCCTGCCCCCGTCTCATCTGGCACAGGAAGGAAGAGAGCAACCCTAGGCATCCCTGGTTAGGACCCCATACGGAGAGAGCTTGCACCCTAATGATCCCTGGGAACAAGGTGTGCAATGAGTCTTTTTTTTTTGTTCCTCAAAGGGATTACCTGGTAAAAACCAGAAAACCTGCTAGACAAATTCTAAAAGAGCTGTAACTCTGACAGTCTTTTGATGGCCTGGTTATTTCCAAAACAGCAAGGTCTGTTCTGGTCCTTCCTGGTGGGTTAGCTGCAGGGCAGGACCACCAGAGCAGCAGTTCTGAAACTCTCCTGCACAAGGAGTCACCCAAAGTGCTTAAAAAAAAGTCCTGATTCCGGGTCACATTCCAGATCACTGACACTCAAATCTCTGGAGTCCAGACTCAGGCATCCGCGTTTTAAAAATCCCTCAGGTGCAGCCAATTTGAGAGCCGTCTCTAGAGTCTGATCAAAGGTTGTGCAAGGGAGGTCCCTGCACTTGGAAGCCTCAGTAAGACCTGGGAACCTCTTGGAAATGCAAACCCTCAGGCCCCACCCCAGCCCTCAGAATCCGCAGCCCCGGGTGGGCCCAGCCGCCTGTCGGGCAGCCCTCCAGGATTCCCGCACTGCTCTAGCTCAGTGCCTCTCAAACGTCACTGAGCACAAAGCCGCCTGAGGATCTGCCTGAAATGCGATTCTGACTCAGCAGGTCTGGGGTGGGGCTGAGAGGCTGCATTTTTAGCAAGATCCCAGGTGGTGCCCATGTGGGGCCTCTGACCGCATCTTGAGTAGCAAGGAGCTACAGAGAGCATCTATGTGCCGCCAGCAGGGTTTCATTCTCACCTACTGGAAGCAGCCTTAGTAGACAACTGAAAAACAAAATAAAACAACAACTGAGACAAGTGTTTCTGCCAGAAAACCCAGGCCATTCACTGGTCAGCTGCTCCGAAGCCACAGTCAGGGCTACCGCAGCCAGCCCCCAACACCTGACTGGTTTCTAGTAAAGAGGCCCCTGTGGCAATCAACTCACCTGGGCACTGCCGAGGCACGTTCCCAGCCAGCGTGCCTCAGAGGGCGCACCAGAAATAGCTCCACGCTGGAGAAGCAGCCTTCCTCAAGTGCTATCGGCTCCCTCCTGCCTGTAGAATAGCTAAACCACCCCCTCCCCACATGAGGCCAGAGAGATCAACTGTTAGCTCTGTTGTGGCCTCACGTAGGTGCTCTTAGTACTGACCAGTGCTGGAGGGAGGGGCTACTGCTAACACTTGGGGATGTTTTATAACGAACAGCCTCTGAAACTTCTACCAGCTGCTGAGGTATAGGATCCTGTCTGGAAATTTCTCCCAGATCTTAATGATGGGACCATCGGACCCTCTCCTGAATATGTGGGTTACTTTCTCTTTGGCAGGCACCGTGAAGAGCATGACTGATTGTGTTACACTCTGCCTTGGCTGCTGGGGAGCTCAGAGCTCCCCTCTGCACGTCCATCAGACCTCCCACGGCGTACTTGGAGTTGTGACCTCACCTAGCTCTCCCTTATCTTTCCAGCTGCCATTTTTTCCCTTTTATTACTTTTTTTTGAGACAGAGTCTCACTCTGTTACCCATGCTCGAGTGCCGTGGCATCTGCCTAGCTCACAGCAACCTCAAACTCCTGGGCTCAAGCGATCCTCCTGCCTCAGCCTCCTGGGTAGTTGGGACTACAGGCATGCACCACCATGCCCGGCTAATTTTTTCTATATATTTTTAGTTGTCCGGATAATTTCTTTCTATTTTTAGTAGAGATGGGGTCTTGCTCTTGCTCAGGCTGGTCTTGAACTCCTGACCTTGAGCGATCCTCCTGTCTCGGCCTTTCAGAGTGCTAGGATTATAGGCGTGAGCCACTGCACCTGGCCCCTTTTATTACTTTCTTTCCCATCCACTTATTTTAACAGTTATGTCATGGTAATGAGATAAAGTGTCACCTCCTATGTGTCGTGATCTTGACTGAGTTACCTAACTTCCCTGTCCTTCACTTTCTGCATCTGTAAAATGGGGATAACAGAGCTAACCTCACTTTGAGGATCACATGAGTTAATAAAGGCCTGGCACACAGTTAGCACTCAATAGATGTTAGTTATGTTTTTATTGTTATTGTTTATGTGAGCCCACTGAAGTCCTTTGAAGAAGACATAAATATCCCATCATTATCGCCATGATGGCCCTGCAGGGTCCCCCCCTCTCCAGGCCTGAGCCCACCCTAATGAGGTCTCAGCCTTGGCCAGCCTCCCCACTCCCTTAACTGGACAGGCAGCTCCTGAGTGCGCCATGTTGGTGTCATTCCTGCTCTGTCCATTGCGCATGGCCCACCCACCTTGGCTGTCCAGGCCGATGTCCATGACGCCATGCTTGACCTTCATGTGCCGGCTCAGGTTGCCCTTGAGGTTAAACTTGCTGGAGCAGTAGGGGCACTTGAAGGGCTTGCTGCCTGCGTGCAGGTGCATGTGGCCCAGCAGGTTGTACATGCGGTTGAAGGACTTCCCGCACACCTGGAACACACCAACCCGGCGCCATTAGCCTGTGGAGAGCCCGCCTTCCCCAGACCCCCAGCCCACTCCCACCTCCGTGGCCAGGCCACAGTCCCACTCAGCATGGACAATGCTCTCCTTGTCCTTTTTTACGTGACTCCAGAAGCCCACGGGGCAGAGAAACAAGCCATTCCCTGCTGGTCCTTACTCCTGTGGGTCTGCCCCGCTCTCTGAGCTGGAGTCACCGCAAACTCAGACCCGCGCGGATCCCCAGCGGCACCGAGTCCCAGGCCTGGGCTTTCCCTGTGGCCGCACCGCGACCTTCCCTCTCTCCCCAGTTCTCAAGAAACACAACATCAGCAGCTTTTAAGATCTGAACCCCCCTGCCCACCCTAAACCCCAAAGCCCAAAGCCCAGGCTAAGTTCCACCCAGCCAGGGCTCCCCCTGCCCGCACTGGCTATGTGGTCCCGCGGACACCAGGCCACCCGTGAAGAGGGCGTGGCCCCGGGCCTGCCGCCTCGTACCTTGCATTTGAATGGCTTCACGGGCGAGTGTACAATCATGTGTGTCTTGAGGGTCTGCTTCTGCACAAAGGTCTTGAAGCAGATGTGGCACTGGTAGGGCCGGACGCTGGTGTGGATCAGCATGTGCCGCTTCATGTTCGCCTGCAGGGTGAACTCCCGGCCACACACCTCGCACTTGAACTCCTTCACGCCCTGTGGGGGGAGGGTGACGGTCAGGGCCACACGATGGGCACAGTCTCCGGGAAATGTCTCTTCTCAAGGGGATTCGGAACCGCTACCACTTGTTTAAGCCACCGGAAGGATGTCGGGGCAGAGCCACTTCCTCCAGGGAAGCCTTCCGGCGACAGGCAGACACGGGCTGTGTCTTGTTGTTCCTGTCCACACGCCTGCTGTCTCCTGCCCCAGGGTGGGCGCGCACCTAGGTCTGCGCCAGCACGCCGAGGCAACCGTGTGCTCATTCATTCATTCAGCAACCGTTTACTGGGCACCCACTACAAGGCGGCACCCTGCTAGGCACCAGGGGCCTGGGGTCAAGATGCGCAGTCTGTCTGGTGTCTGTGCCCGTGTCATCAGACGGAGGACGTATGTACTATGTTGACCCTCAGTGCTGTCTCTTGGTGTTCTTTTTGGTTCACGGAACCCTTTGAGAATATGATTAAAGCTATGGACACCCCAGAAAAAAATGACACTTAGGTCTGTGTAGAATTTCAAAGGTTCTCAAACCCCCAGAGCCCCTCCACTGACCCCCTTGAGAGGGTGTTTTCCAAACCTCCCTGGCGGTAAGAGCCACCTGCAGTTCTTGTCCAACATGCAGCCTCCCAGGCCCCTCCCAAGAGTCTAGGTCAAGGGGCTAGGAACGGCCGGAGTGTTTACGCTCAGCAGCGCCCCACGTGATCCTCATCTCCGATAGGTTTGGAACACTCGGTCGCAGGAGACACAGACTCCAGGCCGGGGTGGGGAACCTGTGGCCTTCTCATTTCAAGATGGCTCTTTTTTAAGCATCAAAGGAGGCAAGAAAACCTTCATCTTTCTCTTCTGCACCCCTTTTAATAAAAGGATTTGCTCTGTAAAATTTGGGTTCAGTCAAAAGGCCACACTCAAGGATCCAGAAGGCCACTCGTGGCCCCCAGGCCGCAGGCTCCCCACCCTTGCTCCAGGGAAAAGCCCTCTGGTTTGGATGTGAACATGCTTTTCTGTGGTCTGAGGTGACTCCCAGAGCCGGACAGGGTGCCGTGTACAGAAAGCGTCCAATTCATTGTCTGGGGAGGAAAGTCAGGATAAAAGCTGGAAGCTGTTTTCTCTTTGCTGAGTAAGTGGTTTAGTAGGAACCCAATGGGACAGCTATGGTCACAGCTGCTACTCACTGCTTGTTTGGTCCAAGTTTTGTATGTATGTACCTATGTATGTATGTATGTATTTAGTTAGTTATTTTTAGATACAGGGTCTCCCTGTGTCGCCCGGGCTGGAGTGCAGTGGCTTCATCACAGCTCACTGTAACCTTGAGCTCCTGGGCCCAGCGATCCTCCCACCTCAGCCTCCCAAGTAGCTGGGACTACAGATGTGTGCCACCATGCCTGGCTAATTTATTTTTTGTAGAGATGGGAGTCGCACTATGTTGCCCAGGCAGGTCTTGAACTCCTAGCCTCAAGCCATCCTCCTGCCTAAGCCTTCTAGAGAGTTGAGATTACCAGGCATGAGCCACCATGCCTGGCCTGCATTGTAATTTCATAGTTCCGTTCTCTTAGCACACGGGCTGTGTCTCGCTTTCATACCCGCCTGACATGCTGCAGATGTGCATGACCACCAGGGGGCCCTGCCACTCAGGAGTTTACTTGATAAGCACGTGATGTGCATACTGTACACATTTAGGCTGATGATAGGTATGTTTTCGATTTTATTAGCCTTTGATTTTTGCTTTCAGCTTTTCTTCACAGTATTATTTATCTTATAACACTCTGTGGAGTTGTGGGGATTTTTAAGTCTGACGGTAGAGGAGAAAGATGGCAAATATATATTTTTTTGAGACAGAGTCTCACTGTGTTGCCAGGGCTAGGGTGCCGTGGCGTCAGCCTAGCTCACAGCAACCTCAAACTCCTGGGCTCAAGCGATCCTCCTGCCTCAGCCTCCCGAGTAGCTGGGACTACAGGCACGTGCCACCATGCCCGGCTAATTTTTTCTATATATTTTTAGCTGTCCAATTAATTTCTTTCTATTTTTGGTAGAGACGGGGTCTCGCTCTTGCTCAGGCTGGTCTCGAACTCCTGAGCTCAAACAATCCGCCCGCCTCGGCCTCCCAGAGAGCTAGGATTACAGGCGCCCGGCTGCAAATACATATTTTTATACGGCACGTATGCGATCACCCTCCACTCTCATCCTTTGCAGACATCAACAATCAGACGGTTTTACTGCCGAGCCCAGATTCAGTTTCAGAATCCTTCCGAACGTTACATTCTGGGCAGCTACTACCAGCTGACCGGAGGAGCCCCTGCAATGCAGCCTACAGATGGCTGGATTCTTGGCCCTCAGGCTGTGGCTCCCCCGCTCAGTGCAGTGGACATTGTGAGAGATGAGGTCACGAGTTGGACCTGGTATCACTAGGCAGCCCCCACTGGAGAGAGGAAGCACATGTACACGTGGCTTTGAAGGGTTAAGTGGGTTGGATTTAGGTCAAAACCATGGGGCAGCCAAGTGCATGCCAGGTGGGACTGTGAGACCTGAGAGGCCTCGTTCCACCTGCTTGGATGGGAGGGCCTCTTGGAGGAGGTGACGCTGGCTGAGGGCAGGGGGAGGAGGGCAGGGGAGATGGGTCCGGGTTGGGCCTGGGGATACCGCAGACCACAGCAGTGCCACTCGGTCTTCCATCTCACAAACCACTCTGCCTACGTTAGACATGTTCTAAAACCACCTGTACTCTTCCATGCCATTATTTTTCCTAACATCTACTCCCCCTTTAAAATCAAATGTATTTAGCCTGTTCCTAAAGGGAAGTCAAAGGTTTTTATATATTTCTTTTTTTTTTTTTTGAGACAGAGTCTTGTTCTGTCGCCCCAGATAGAGTGCAGTGGCGTTATCATAGCTCATTGCAACCTCAAACTGCTGGGCTCAGCTCCTGAGTAGCTGGGGCTACAGGTACTTGCTGCCACGCCTGGCTAGTTTTTTCTATTTTTGGTAGAGATGGGGTCTGGCTTCTGCTCAGGCTGGTCTCAAACTCCCAAGTTCAAGCGATCCTCCTGTCTCGGCCTCCCAGAGTGCTAGGATTACAGGCGTGAGCCACCGCGCCCGGCCAATATGCTTTTGTAATGATCAAGAGAAAAGGATGCCCTCTGTACTTCTGACCATTGGGTTCGGATGCCTCCCCGTGGCATCCTGGCCTCTCTCCGACCTCAGCCCTCTGGAAAACAGGCGCGTTAGGCTACTTCAGTGATTCTCAAACTGTGTTCCTCAGGTCCTGCAGGGGTGCCACAAACATTTCATTTAAAAAAAATTTTTTTAAATAAATAAGGGCTTACTATTTAAAAAACTTATTTCGATCATACAGTATTGCTTTCTGATACTTATCTAAATAAATACGTAACTGTAAAAATAAGAAACGTTCGTGTGCGTACTGCCCACGTGACTGCATCGCGGACCCTGGGAAGTACCGGGTGACGAGGCGGGAGGAGGCCGCGGCAGGCAGCCTTACCTTGTGGGTGAGCGAGTGCTGCTTGAGGTGGTGGATCTGGCTGAACTCCATGCCGCATTCGGTGCACACGAAGGGCCGCACGTTCTGGTGCTTCAGCATGTGGTTCTGCAGCTGGCTGCGGTAGTGGAAGGACTTGTCGCACTCGAGGCACTGGTAGAGGGTGGGGCCCTGGTGGGAGGCCAGGTGGCGCTTGAGCTGGGTCAGGGTGGAGAAGTCCAGGCCGCACTCGACACAGACGTGGCAGCGGCCACTCTCGTGCTTCACTTCGTGGGCCTTGAGCTCGCTGGGGTAGGCGAAGCCACGTCCACAGAAGTGGCAGCTGTAGGGCTTGACCTCCGAGTGCAGCAGCATGTGGCGCTTGAGGTGGCTGGTCTGCGTGAAGGCCTTGTGGCATACCTGGCACTTGTGGGGCCGGGTGCCCTGGTGCGTCAGCAGGTGAGTCTGCAGGTGGCTGGGCTGCTTGAAGAGCTTGCTGCAGTGCGGGCACGAGTGTGGCTTGATGCCGTTGTGGCCCAGGATGTGCGTCACCAGGTTGTACTTGGACGTGTACGACTTCTCGCACATGCGGCACTGCCAGCGCTTCTGGCGGTCGCCCGCCTCCACCAGGTAGGAGTCGTCAATCTGCACGTTGATGTCCAGCCGATCCAGCTGGGCCTTCTTGTGGCGCTCCACTGTGGAGCCCGCCGCGTCGGCCTCAAACTCACCTGCCTCCTGCCACACGAAGCCCTGCTCTGGCTTTACAGCCTCCGGGGACTCCATGCTGGGGGCCTCGGGGTCACTCAGAGGGGCCAGGTGCGGTGGCTCGAAACCACACTCAGCGGGCAAGGCCTCTGGCCCAGGCAGCGCCATGCTGGGCTCGGGGAAGCCATCCCGGGCCGGGTCTGGGAAGCGAGGGTCGTACGGGGCCACGTCCAGCTCTGGCCTCGGCGTTCGGGGCAGGTGGCGGAGTGTCCGGGGCTTGCGGCTGAAGGCGCTGAGGTCGATCATCTTGACGGCGCTGCTCTGCACCAGGGCCTCGCAGGCACCGCTGGACACCTCGGCAGGGGCTTCTGCGGGGCCTGCATCCTTGTTGTCGCCAGACACGGAAACCTCATAGACCTCCTGTTCCTCTTCCTCCTCCACCTTCTCGAACTTGACCTTGGGCACCAGCCGCACCGGGGGCCGTGTCTTCCGCCGGGTGTGCTTTTCAAAGGCTGCCTCCACCTCCAGCACCTCCTCCTCCGCCGGCTCCTCCAGGGCCCGCCCATTGCAGGCCAGCTGGTAGACATCGGGGCCTGGTGGCCCAGGCTCCCCCATGGCCGTCCCTGACAGCTCGGGCCCCAGGTCCGGGTAGAAGGCCTCAGCGCTTATGGTGGCTCCAAAGAGCTCATTTTCCGAGACCAGGCCCAGCACGGCGGCCTGGGCCAAGGACAGCACCACCACAGCATCCGTCTGTGTCCCTGAGTCCATGAAGCCCTCCATCCCGTGGAGGCTGCTAGGAGGGCATCGCTGTGGGCGGAAAAGGGAACATTAACACCGTGGGCTCAGCACTGCGCGGACGGACGACAGACACACTGAGCGAGACAAGGCCTTGGCTGATTCGGGGTGTGTCTGGCCCTGACGTCTTTCTATTCCTGCTTTTGGAACAGGGCACCCTTGTAATTACGGGGAGCAATGATACCCTTTGTGTATCTACCCATCTCTACCATCTCCCTGTGGGATCCCGGGGGAGCCCCATGCCTGTGCTGGCCTCGGTCTTCCCTTCTGTAAAAAGGGGAGGTCGGATTTCCCTCCAACCATGTTCTACGGGTCCTTCAAGAATTCCTCAAAAATCTGATTCAAAAGGCAAGAGGATTCTACTATTTTTAAAAGAGTTTTAAAAGCCCACCTACTCGAATATAATAGGTACCGCGTTCCAACACATTCAGTAGCCCCCCTGGCTTTGTTGCCAAGATAATTAATTTTGCACAGACCTTAAGACAGTAGATGAGGCGTTAACTGTCACCATTTGTAACAACTTGGCTGTATGAATGAAGATACATACATACATATGGCAAAAACAAGGTGACACACAGAAACCAAATAGGAGCCTAGGCCAGTCTCAGACATCGGCTGCCACCCGTCAGCCCTGATGCTAAATCTCTATCAAAACAGGTTACTGTTTTTCTTGATTAGCTAAACGTTATGCATTTAAATATCTAAACTTGTAAGGATAAAATATGGTTTTTATCTGCCTTATACACTGGCGTGCCATGTCAGCTCTGACGTGGAAGGGGTCCTTGGCAGCGGCCGCATTGGAGGACTGAACTGACGCTCAAACCGGCTTCACAGTCACGGGCTCAGATCTGACGGCAGCGTGCCCACCTGCCCAGGTACAAAGGCCAGCACGGCAGCTCCCCCTTCCTGGGGCTCTGGCGCGTCAGTGGGCCCTGGGCACTCCGTGCAGCCGGGCCGCCCTCGCCCTAACCCTGCTGACTCCTGCTCCTCCCGCCCTGGGGTCTTCACAGCTGTCCCCACCTGCCTCGGCACCCTCTTCAGACTTCCCCGGGGCTATGGCACACCAGTAATGGACCAGTGGCCGTGTGGCGGCCTCCTCCTGGGCCTCAGATGGTCACGTCGATGCCCCTTGCCCCAGTGCCCGGGCTGCTGGCGCAGCAGAGGAAGGGGCGGCACGACGGGGTGCCTCCTGCCTGCCCTGCCTGCTCTCCTCCCGAGTGGCCCTTCCTCAGGAAACCGGCTCCGGGCCTGGCGCCCCCTCCCCCAGCGCCCGGTGGAGCTTCCCCTTCCTGCGGCCGCTAAAAATACCCCGCACAGGAATTTAGCCTTCTCGAGGCTGACACTAAAGATTAAACTGTGAAGCTTAGCGGGGCTCTCGTGGAAGGGATCGGATAGAAGGAAACGTCTACGGGGGGAGTCAGGATCCACCTGGAACAGGCTGGAGGGGCCGAACCTGTTTCGGAGTCACCCCCACCCCCACGTCCAGCCTCTGGAAAGCGGACTCAACTAGCTTGTGTGCCTCAGTTTCCCCATGGGAAAAACGAGGATGAAACACCTACCCACGGAAGGGGTGTGAGGCCCAGAGGTCACGACGCAGGTGAAGGGGCTCTGCCGACTACAAAGCCTGCGCCAGCTGTGAGGCGCCACTGTGAGGCGCCACTATGAGGTGTCTGCCCAGAGCTCTGGGGGCACCTTTTCTGAAAAAAGCCACAGAGCCGAGAGATTTTTCCACTCTCGCTCTCCGGTTCAGCACAGCCTAAGTGACCCTGGGGACAGCCTCGAGGGACTCGGAACTCATTCATTCATTTGTGCAACAGGTATCTGCTAAGTCCCTGCTATGGGTCGGGCCTTGTGCCTGGAGACAGCGAGGGGACGAGGCAGGGTCCCTGCCCCCACCGGGCTGCAGGAGACCGCTGTGCTCACCACGGCCACCCCTGCCCACCAGCCGGGCAGCGTGGCTGCCTCCTGTCACAGCGGCCTGTCTCTGGTGGCCCCCAGCAGCCCTCCCGTCTGCCGTGGATTTGAGCGAACAACGTGCTCAGCATTTTTTTAGACTTCCCCAAAGGCAGGGCCAGAGAAGAGGAGGAAATGGTGGTCAGCAGTGATGCAGCCCACGCTTCACACTCGGCACCGGATCCGAGTTCAAATCCAGCCTCTGCGTTTACTGGGCCTTCGAACAATTCCGATCTCTACACAGGGGCAAAGGGGTCCTGACTTACAGGGTGGGAGGGAGGTGAGAAGAGGATGTCGGGGTGAACGTCAGTTCGCTTCCCTCTCCCCTCCGCGGCTCCAGTACCAGGCACCACGCCCCTCCTGGCAGCCTCAAGGCAGCGGGCACAAAGCAGTTCCCATTGCTCTCGAGGCGGGGGACAGGAAAACGCCAGCCAACAGCTGTCCGTGGGAGCCGGAGCACAGGGCTGTTGCGGTTCCCTGAAGGGAGGGCAACCATGTAAGTGACCGTCCTAACTGGGGCCACTCCTCAGGGTCACACCAGGATACCAGATGCAAACCAGCCAGGTGTGCCCTTCCTACTCGAACAGGTGGTTTTGACTTGAGAAGGTACGTCTGTGTCAGAAGCCTGTGCCTGGCTGCAAAAGGGTCCTTGCTCCTGAGGGGTCTGTGCCCAAGCAGGGGCGGGGGCACCGAGAGGCGCCAATAGCTTCTCATTGGTGAGTGCTCACCAGTCCCACGTGAGCCACTTGGGGTGGGGTAATGTGCTCCCCACTTCACAGCCCAGAACACTGGGGCCTGAGGAACATGCTCCAGAGTGCCCCGTCCATGGCACTCGTACCCGGGTCCGAGGGCCCCACAGCCGGGGCCCACTTGGGCTCCGTATCTCCCTCTCTGTTTCTGTGGCTGCGTGGGGGTGGGGGGAGGTGTGTGTGTGTGTGTGTGTGTGTGTGTGTGTGTGTGTGTGTCACATCTGGGCCTGGCCTCCTCAGCTCTCAGGAACTGCCCTGGGACACCAGGGCCCAGCAGGGGCACATGGGCAAACCCCGGACAAATTGCCTCTTCCTGGCTGGCTGGACCGGGGTCCTCAGAGGGCAGCCAGAGCCCTTCCTGGGGTCTCTACTTCTGCCCGAAGTCTCCACTGAGCCACCAACCCCTGGCCAGTCTTTTGCACTGGGCTGGACACTTGCCTGAGCAGAACACACGCCACCCTTGAGTGCCCACGTAATGCGGCTTTTGGGCCTGGGCTGGGCCCCACGTCCGTGTTGTCCTGTTCCCTGGGGCTGCCGGGCGGGCTGTGTGTGCGTGTGTGGGTGGAGAGGGGGCTCTGCTGAGACAGAGGCTGAGAGAAAGACAGAGGGAATCTAATTTTCCTGTGTGTTGCATGTGTGTGCTGCCTGCCTGCCACGCACAGAATGAGGCCTGGGGAGCTGGGGCTGGGTGACCGGTATCACTGTATTCCCCTCCTCCTGGGCGAGCTTTCTGGTTCCCTTCTCAGCCCCCCACTTCCATCTCGCAGGCTATAACCTTTCCGTTTTCATGCCCTGGCACAGAGCTGCCCAGGGCAGGACAGCCTGCCAGGCGTGCGTCACCTGCGTACCAGGGCTGCCTCCCCACCCACCCCAAGGCCCCTCTGTCATCTGCCTGGGGTCCCTGGTGGCACCTCCCTTCTCAGGGCAGGGCCTCTCCTCCACCTGTGCTGAGGACTCAGAACAAAAGCTCTCCCGGCATCCAGGAGAAAGGGGAGCGCAGACTGTCCTGGGCTAGTGGCATGAGGGGGTCACTGGCTGGGATGCGGCTGGGCCTCCTACCGGCACCCGGCACCCCGTTCCTAAGGTGGGGAGAAAGTCAATGTTAGAGGCAGAGAGAGAGAGATCAGCTGCCTGATTGCAGTTGTGCTGGGAATGGGGGAAGGGAGGTGGAGAGAGAGGGAGGGAGGGAGAGAGAAAAGAAAAGAAGAGAGTGGGAAGTGGGGCCAGGAGGAGCGAGAGTGAGGGGAGGGAGGGGAGAAAGGGCTGCGCAGGCCAAGAAACAAAGGCAGGGGAGGGGGAGGGGCGGCTGACACGGAAGCCCAGGACTGCCCTATTTCCCAGGGCTCAGCACCACCCCCGCCCAGGCCTGAGGGCCAAGCCAGCCCCAGCATCACATCTCAACCTAAGGCCCTGCAGGGGACCCTCCCTCCCCAGGAGGACCCGGGCCCCCAGGGTCGCTCTGTTATTTCATCTGTGGCTCTGCCTTCTCCTCCATTGCACTACAGTTCCTGTAAACACTGGGCAAGTCACCTGACTCCGTTTCCTTATCTGTCAAATGGGCACAAGAGCCTACTTGGAACCTGGAGGGTGGGGGACCTCTTGGCCTACCTGCCTCTCACCAGGGTCCCTCCCCAAGATGTGACAGCACCTCTTCTCCAAGCGCTCCTTTCCTCACATCAAGACCCCCTCGCACCCCTGCTCTGGGGCGGGGGCGGGTTGGGCAGGACCAGGGTGGCTGGTGTCCCCCTGGGACACAGAAGGTGCGGCAGAGCATGGGTGAAGGCCCCAAGGCCCAGGCTGGCTTGGGGCTGGTGGGACGGGTCGTTCTTTGACTAACTCCCACCGCCAGGGAGATCATCTCAAAACCCAGCTGAAGACAGAGGAGTGCTCTGGCGCTTCTGCCAGCCCAGACTTGGGATGTCACCGAGCACCTGCGATCAATGTGGTCTGATGACTATTTCCCGAGGGCAGCAGGTCCCCGCTCCCTGGCACAGCCTCAGCGGTGCCCTGTGCTTATGCTGGAAGGACAGGTTTGTTCTTGGCCCCTTCATCGTGGCCTTGAATCACCAGGTCACTCAGAGGCTGTGGCCTCCAGGCCTGCAACTGAACCTCTGACTCAACGCACATTTACCGAGCACCTACTACGTCCTGGGTACTGTTCTTGGGGATAAAGTTGGGAGCAAATCAAAGTTCTCACTGTCGGGGTGCTGAGCTGCGGGAGCTCAGTTGACAGCGCCAGGATCTCTGGGAGCAGGATGGGGTGGGGTGGGGGCAGGGCCCTCCAGAGCGGCAGGGGGGCCTCACT